CCGAGAGGCTTGTGGGGTAGACTTAGGATATACATTTTGCATTTTATCAGTGACCCAAAGTAAAGCAAACAATAAAATATACATTCTCGAACTGGGCCTAACTCTAATCATGACTTGGTGGGGGCCGTGTTGTTCGCTGTCAGGTGACTTCTCACAAGCGATTCACCAACGCGCCGCAAGCCATGCGCTCAGGATCGAGGCAACATCTTTGCACGTGACACTGGACGCGTGCAAAGCTGGGTCTGGGTTTTCCTCAAGCGTTTCCTAAGGAGTCAGGGTGGAGCGTGTCCCTTTTCCAGGGAAACAGGAATTCAGCCAGTTTCCGTTCCAAGCGTTTCCACGCTTGGCTAGGTCCCCCAGTAGTGCCCTTTGACCCTTCTTTGGGGGAGGGTTCGCCTCAACATAGACTACAGAAAAACAAATCGGGTACCCTGATTCTAACCTCTCAAATCTGGAGGACCTAGTTGGGATGTTTTTTTTTTTTCTTTCAGGGAAACCAAAAGGACGTCCGCCGGTCCGCTCGTTTTTTTCCGGTGGTCGGGTGAACAAGTTCGTGAGGTGAGCCTTCTGAAGGCGGAGGACGGCTTCATCCCGAAGGACCAGTTTGGTGTCGAAAACGGGGCGTGATGTTTTATTTTGGAGCACGGCCTTGTCACAGCTTGGCCTGGCGGGTCAAAATGAAACCAACGGGACCGCAGATGTTGGTCCATGTTTCCTCCAGGGTTCCATTTTGGGTACCTATTTTTGACCCACGGCCACATTTGCCCGGTGGGCTCCGTGGCAAATGTGGCCACCCGCTTTTTGCTTTGGGAAACAAACGTTAACACAGCTTGGTTTACACGGAAAAAGACGCGCCATTTCTTGGGGTGGTGGTCCGCCCCTTTTTTTGGCACAACCAAGTTCGGGTCGACCTTTTCCGATGTTTCACCGGGCCACCAACATGGAACTTGACTCCCTAGAAGCCCTTTGCTAGGGTTCCGTGTGGACGAAATCAGAAAACGGCTTGAGGGGTTTCCTTTTGCAGGGCTCCTTAGAAAATACATTTTGCCCATTTGAAACATGGCTTTTTCAACACCCAAATAAAGGGAACCCACCATTTACAAGGCAATGTTCAGGTGTTTCTATTGTAAGGATCCCTGTTTTGGGTTCCCTGAAGCCCGCCAAAAGCTCGGAAACAGCCGCCGGACTCGTCGCTGGAGTCTGCGGGGTCGAGGGCCCGAAGTATGGCAAGCGGGTTAGGGCCTTGTGCTTCTGAACTTCTGGTGCCAGGACCCTTTGTGCCGCTCAGTACAGGCGGAGTCTTTGAGGATCCTCCTGCCAGCTGGTGTCTCAGAGTGGATTGGTTCCAACTTAGATAGCCAAGGTGCTGCTTTTCCCCAGACACTTTACCCTAAACACAGTCACAGTTGCTGCGAAAAACAAGCTGCAACTGGCGATCCAGGTAGGCTCTTATTCTGGTTCTGTGCTGAATTTGCCGTGAGTTTTCCGACAGGTATGGCGTGGAGGAGATCTTTCGCGCTTCCCTGACAATGCAGCCCGATCGCTCATGAAGGCTTTCCGAACGCGGGGGGTCGGCAGCGCTCATGCTTCAGTTGAGAAATGATTTGGGGAAGGCAGCCACTTCCTGTGAAGGAACCACGGCTCAGCGACACGGGATTGTCCACTTGGGTATCACAGACTTCAGGGGGCAATTTCCCACATGGGGATAGATCAAACGGTCCTTTACGCGGGATGACCATTGGGGAAACCACGGGGAAAAGCTACCCATTTTCATTTGGCTGTGGGTCAAAACCAATGGTACCATTTTGGGGGTAGGTGCACCACCCATTTTAGTCATTTTAGTGGGGATTGGGATGTTCACTCAAGGTACGGGATTTTGACCCATGGCCATTTGGGTGCCTAACCCCCACCTGAGTTTTTTTTGGGGCGAAGCGGGTGCAAGCGGCCAGGTTTGGGTGCACTCGCTGGATGGCCCTCGCGACATCCCACCCAGGACTGGGCCAAGGGCCGGCTTCCTTTGGACTCGGAAACTATTCCCCCCCGAACGTGAATTGGAATTCGTGGGGTAGCTTCCCCATGGCATTCCTGGCGGAAATCTGTTGGAAAGCTCAGGTGCGCGGAAAAGGACCTGCTTGCACGCTGATTGTGATCCATTCGGGGCGAAAGTGGATATGGGGAACCATGCCAAATTTCAAGCAGGGCCATGTTCCCACGTCCTCTTGGAAAAAGCATGGCAATTTGACCATGGCTCATGTATTTTCGAGCGGCCCAGCTTTGGGGTTTATTATGGTTTATTGCGGGAAGCGTTCATCCAGCAACCTGTTTCAACATGTTCAACATTTGCTTCCAAAAACCGCAGCAGCGAAAATCACGGCTGCCTTTGGTTTCCACACGGTGGTATTTTCTATTTGATCTGCAGTTTTAAGCAGCGGTCAACGGTTGGTTTCTTTATCGAGACCGAGTCGTCAGGCCGAGCGGAGCTTCCGGAGCAGCCCCACCCGCCGCTCGCCTCGATGTGGTTTGCCGAGCCACGAGTCGCAGATCGTCACAGCTCGTCTCGGTGTTGCAAGAAGATGGTTTCGTGAAAATTGCCGCGGGAATTTCAGTAGACCTTGTGAAGTGCCGGGGTTGAATGAATTTGACGCAGTTGACGAGTATTTGGCTGGGATCTACATGCAAGCTCCGTCAAAATCGGGATCCGAAGCTTCCTTTCAGCTTCCTTCAGGCGGAGGAACCCTCCTGGACTCCCAATTCTTGCGGAGGGTTGGGAAAAAAAAATCCCAAGCCCTACCCATCCAACCCGCCGAAAGCCGAAAGCTTGCGGCTTCTCCTGGTTCTTGGCTAGCCCTAGCGATCCAAACCGTCGACAGCGCCGGGAAGCTGAGCTCCGCTCCTTGGCTCGAGCGTGTCACCCAAAAGGCGGGCAGGCGCCATGGACGAGCCGCAGCCAGAGCAGCTGGCAGAGGCGCTCAAGCAGCTGCTGTCTCCCCTCAAGCTCACCCATGGCAGCGTGGATTCAGCATCCCCACCCCCTCAAAAATAGAAGTGGGGGAGGGGGGTGACCCCTGGAATTCCATTTGTGGTTCCATTCTCTTTTATGGGGAAGACCAGACAAATGGAATTTGGGGACCCCCCTTCCCCTTAAGGTAGGGGGGATGATTCAGCGCCGGGGGAAGTGAAGGGGGGAAGGAACAGTAGGCAGTGGAACGTCACCTTTTGGGCTCCTGAAGGTGAGTTTCCTTTGGTAGTGAAGCTGAATGGCTTCCTTCAGGGAGCCCTAAGCCCAGCGGCCAAAGTACAACCAGCCTGTGCGCAGGCAGAACTTGGGGCGGCCAGATTCGCCAATTAAAGAATTTTCATACTTGCCAGGTTTTGTGTCTGTGTGACTCATTGTGGGGCACACCCAAGTGAGTTTTAGATCCACCCAAAGCCCCCAGGAAAATTCTTTCATGCGGACCCGATGATGAAAATCCTTGTCGAAAGAGCTCAAAAACCAGCAAACTTGGTGAACACCATGCAGCTCTTGTTCCAGACAATCGGCCCCTTAAGCCTTCGTTGTTTCTTTCTGTTCGCGAATTCGGCGTAAAGCAGTTCGGGAGAAAATGGATTTCGGAAAGGGGTATTGCAGAAGACGTAGCATATTTGTTGCATGCACAATCCGGTTTTCCCAGGTTGGACTATGGCTTGGAATCAAGCATAAGATTCGGAGGCAAGTTGGCAGATCTGTTTCCCACAAGTTGTCCTTGAGCCAGCACGGAGCCGTCGATCCGTCTCTCAGCCATTTCCGAAATCACGTTTGATCTTAAACCCTCTTAAGTTGTGCTAAATCATCAGACTCCTCTCGGATCCTTTTTTTTTTGATTCACCGGCCTCCGGTTGGGTTACGGGAGCGTGGGATCCATTTGATCCTCCGGCTGGTTGGTTACTTGGATTTTTGCCAAGTTAGTAAGTTTCCAACAACTTTCTAAGTTAGCCCAACACCAACGGAATGTTGACCTCGGATTAATAAACCCCAGTTTATCAATATCGGGGTGTGCAAACCCACCTGAATTAATCCAACCCTAAACCCGCCTGAAAAATATCTGCAGAAATCTTAAACGCCTGGAACCAACGCAACTTCCTGAACACCACCCTAACTAGCCCTAAGCAAATCCTATAGCAACCGGCTGCCCACCCTAAGCCCACATGAACCAACCAAACCAACACTAGTCCGAAGCCTACCCAAAGCCCATAGCCTACCCCACCCACCACCCAACCTATCCTACAACAGTCCAGAACCCGAGGTTCCATTGGATGGGAGGGGAAGACTACCCACAAACAAAGGGGCAACCCCCCAAGAAGAAGAAAGAAAGCAAGAAGTGGATACCAATACTACCCCTCACATGAGCCCCCCCCCCACAGTTGGTGGGTTTCCTTTCTTTAACCATGTACCACAAGACCATCCACCTTGGGGCATTCCGGGCACGAGCCCGGATGCCGTGTCCATCCGGCTTAGGCATCCGCTTCAAGGAGCAGCCCTGTGCGGTGGAGCGGGCGCACCCCATGCACCGCCAGGAGCGAAACCCACCGGGCGACACCCACCTGGCCAGCGGCCAGCGCGTGGCTCCAAATGGGTGTGTCATTTTTTGAGCAAGGCAATCATGCACCCCAAATTTGTGGTTTCCTTTTGGTGTTCCGTTGAACAAAGCGGGAACCCTCCAATAATACACAGCCCTTAACATAGGGGTAACGTAGGGGAACCGGGTCCCACCATTTCGGGGGGGGGGGGGGTTTTGGTTTTCCAGTAAATCAACCCGAGAAGGGCAGAGATGTTTCTAGCAAAAAGTGGTCCTCCCCTGGCGCCAAGAGGATGGTCTTCCCAAAGTCAGCGATTCAACCCACCAGGTTTCCGACGCTTGAAACAACTTCCTTTCGGCTTCTCCTTACACCATCTGGTTGTTTCAACCAATGCAACCAACCAAACCCATTTGTTTTTCACCACCGGGTTGTGGCTAAACAGTGGTTGAAACTATGGGTCTCAACCGGTTGAATCTCACCCTGTCCGTCGGAAGTCACCGGAGTGCTGTTGCTTAATTAAAGGCTTTGAGTTGCAACTCCTCCAATTGCTGTCCATGGGCCCCCACAGGGACCTCAGCCCATGCTTGAAAGCAACCCAAGATTTCACTCATCAGCAAGGTCTCCTTTCCAGAATCAGCCGTGAGCTAATTGAAGCTGGGGGCCAGAGATTGACCCTCTGCACATCAGAATTCGGTGGGTTCATGTCCACCCCCTCCACTTTTGAGGTGGTTCCAAACCCACTTTTGAGGCGATGTGTGTAGGGTTGCTTTAAAGTGGTGTTAAACCCACTTCTGAGGGGCCCGGTGATGTCTTGGGTTGGCCTAGAGGAATGTGGGTATGGGCCAAAATGAAACCACCAGGAATTGGACCACAGTTTTTAGTCCTCTTTTCCATTTATCAGGAGTTCATTTTGGGTACCATTTTTTTAGACCCACACTCAATCATCTAAGAGGTCAACCAATGTACTGGCTGGTGCAATAGGCAGGGAATGAGAAATAGAATGACAAAAACACCCACACCCATTTTGGGGTATTACCCTATGTTCGGCCCACACCCATGTGCCCAGGAGTTCTGCTGGATCCGCCTCACGGAGGCCCCGCCGCCGCCGCCGGAGCCGCCGGTGCCGAGCTCTGTGCGCATCGGCGGAGGCGGGGGCCGGCAGGGGGTGGGGTGTGGGAGGCCTGGATCGCCGGTTGCGATCGCTTCTTTCCATCCACTTTACCCCAAAAGCCAGCAACAGTGGCTGAAAAAGAAAGAAACAGCAACTTGGCTATCCAGGTGGGTGAAGTTGGGTCAGGTTGGGTGGGGTTGGGTTGGGTTGAGGGCTACAGCAAGGCCTACATAAACCAATTTAAAACCATGTAGAACCAAAAGGTCTCGGGTGAATTGGGCGCTGAGGCTTCTACATCCCGGAGATCCACGAGTCAGCGGTGGAGGCTCAGAAGGCTGCAGCCGAACGGGTGCGACGCTCCTCCTCCGCTTCCCTTTCGAAGCAGAAGAGCGGGCTCACCGGAACACAGGACCTAGAGAGGAGTGGGCAAAGTTTCAAGCACATCCTGGGTCTGTCTTTTGGAGTTGGTACCCTTTTTGTGGTGTGCTGAAAGGGCAACCAAGAGGAAAACCGAAATCCATTTTAGTGGGTCCAACCTGAAAAAAGCGAAACACATGCTGTAGAGTTTCCTCTTTCCTTCACAATTCGGGGTCTCAACCAGGACCTCAGGAGGCGGGGGCCGCTGAATGATCCCGTCAAAAGGTGAGACTCAGCTTTGTCTTCTTGGCTGTCCAACACAGAGGGGTCGACCTCCACGGCACAACAGCCAGTTCGATCATTTCTTTGGTGCATTTTGCTTGGATGTTAGGACTTTAACTTTCTGCTAACTAGTGTTTTTTTCATTAAACCGCAAAAAGTTAAACTTTTAGCAGGGGAGCAGAAGGCAACCGAGATTGTATCATTTTGGTGGGGCAACCCTGGTGCCAGTTGGCTTTCTGAGCCAAGCTTGTGAGGAGCGGCACCGTGAATCTGGAGGATACCCTTGCCACGCAGCCAGACCGGAGCCTGAGCAAGAGCGCAAATCTCACGGTGGAGGACGCGGTACGGAGGGATAGCAGCTTGGCCGCTCATTCTTGTATTGTTTTGGACATAGTTGTTTCCTTGCAAACAGTTGCTGTTCGGACCTTGAATCTGTTGCATTGCATTGTGCTTCCCTAAATGGCAACATTTTTGCGGACCTTTAACCTTTTAACTTTTTGGGAGCATGCCGACCTCGCTGATTTGAAGTTAATTGAGACCAGGGGGTCAATCAGTTGAGAGCACATGCGGCACACACTACCAATCGGCACACAGTTTACTATTTGGACCTTTATCCACATTTCAGAGAACATGCGCATGTTTGTGGGGCACACTGGCGAACAATTCACCTAAAACAAGCGCCACACTTTTGCCGTCACAAGGCCGGAGTTTGAGCAAGAGCTCCAACCTGGAGGAATCGAATCGCCGGATTTCGCGGACCTTGACGCCGAATAACTTGGCGCCTGTGCTGTTGGGCCGCTCCAATAGCCAGGATGACATGGACGAAGATGAGGAAGCGTCGGGTCGTGGGTATGGCTTTGAGGGTCCCCCCTTGCTTTTTTTGGTAAAACCAAATAAAGACCGAAATCCAACTTGTTCAGACGCTTGTGAGCGAAAATGGAATCTTCCCCACCTAGCTGTTTAGCCGCCAAGAACTCTGCGCCACTTGCTGTTCGTTCGAGGAAGAAGGAGATGGACGGGCTGCAACTATGGATCTGGGCGCAGCTCTGTACCGGGAGGAGTCTACAGATCCAACATCCTCCCAGAAGTTGGAGCGCTCCAACTCGAAGCTTCCCACGAAGTTCTTGCATGGAGAGGTGTGCGCGCGGACTTGAAACTTTTGTTCGGGGCCGGGAAAGTGTGACGTCCGAAAA